TAAGAAAGTACAGATGACACCAAAAGAAGTACCGTTTGAAAAAAGACCACTACTTTGGGACAACCCTACAGCATGCAGCTCTACTTCACCACCATTTTATATATAGGAAAGGATATTGTCCGAGTTGAATCATAAAATTGATATTGGTTTCAAAGTTCTTTTACAAGAAATACAAAGGTTGACTGAGTTAGTAGAAGCAATCGAGACATCGCACAATAGTGTCATCCACATAAGTTCTGATGATAGTGAAGAGGAGGATCCATCAGAGGAATATTCTCCATGTTCTTAAACAAAATGGAATGATCAAGACTTTTTCTAATGTAATATATATTATGTTTTTATTAAATGTAATATAAAATAAATGTTCATTGATATTATTAATTGATTAATTGCGTTTGATAGAGAATATATAATATATAAGAAGTTATTTTAATGTAATGTTTTTTTGAAGAGTTATCTCAAAGAGTTGTCATGACTGTATAAATAGTTGTTTCTAAATTAAAATACATATTCGGTGAGAACTTCTTAACATAATAAAATGTGTGTATGAATCCATCTCTATCTCTTGTCATCTTTGTGAAGAAAAAAAATTCTCTTTAGAAAGACTTGTATGCAAATTGAAATACATGGTTAGAACTCTGATAATTACTTCATTTTTTAAAATTACTTCCGTTATTGAATCATAAAAATTTGTAGTGATCCTATCAATTTGATTAAATCACAAAATTATATGCTTCCAAACAAAGATACTTGCAAACAAAGATAAAGGACATAATGCAAATTATTTCCAAACAAGTGTCGAGACAATTAACCCTTTTTTTTATAATAGAAAAATGAAGAGTTTTAAAAGAAATAAAGTGTTCATTTACCGGGATTTTTTTTTTTTTGTGAAGGTAAATGTATATATTAAAATGAACAGTAATTACAAGGAGGCCCAATAGGTTAAATTCGCAAACAGGCTGGACATACCCAGCCCATGCAAGTGAATAAAGTCAATCTATGTAACGACCTGCTCCACCACATGGTATGATATTGTCCGCTTTGGGCCTGAACCCACACGATTTTGCTCTTGGGCTTCACCCCAAAAGCCCTCAAACCAATTAGAGATGACACGCTTGCATATAAGCACTTCACCTTTCCTCTACCCAGGCGATGTGGGACTGTGCACCCGTAGCTCGCTAGTGTGGTAGCCTGACAGTGTCTCTCGCACCCGCCCATGGCACACCCGCCCACAAGGTCATCACAATCCACCCCCTTGGAGGCCCGACGTCCCCGTCGGCACACTTCCGGCTGGGTCAGGCCCCAAAGCGGACAATATCATACCATGTGGTGGAGCGGGTCGTTACAAATGGTATCAGAGCCTGATCCAGCCGGAAGTGTGCCGACGGGGACGTCGGGCCTCCAAGGGGGGTGGATTGTGATGACCTTGTGGGCGGGTGTGCCGTGGACGGGTGCAAGAGACACTGTCAGGCTACCACACTGGCAAGCTACGGGTGCACAGTCCCACATCGCCTGGGTAGAGAAAGTTGAGTGCTTATATGTAAGTGTGTCACCTCCAATTGGTATGAGGCCTTTTAGGGTGAAGCCCAAGAGCAAAACCGTGCGGGTTCAGGCCCAAAGCGGACAATATCATACCATGTGGTGGAGTGGGTTGTTACAAATGGTATCAGAGCCTGACCCAGCCGGAAGTGTGCCGACGGGGACGTCGGGCCTCCAAGGGGGGTGGATTGTGATGACTTTGTGGGCGGGTGTGCCGTGGGCGGGTGCGAGAGACACTGTCAGGCTACCACACTGGCGAGCTACGGGTGCACAGTCCCACATCGCCTGGGTAGAGGAAAGGTGAGTGCTTATATGTAAGTGTGTCACCTCCAATTGGTATGAGGCCTTTTGGGGTGAAGCCTAAGAGCAAAACCGTGCGGGTTCAGGCCCAAAGCGGACAATATCATACCATGTGGCCTCCAAGGGGGTGGATTGTGATGACCTTGTGGGCGGATGTGCCGTGGACGGGTACGAGAGACACTGTCAGGCTACCACACTGGCGAGCTACGGGTGCACAGTCCCACATCGCCTGGGTAGAGGAAAGGTGAGTGCTTATATGTAAGTGTGTCACCTCTAATTGGTATGAGGCATTTTGGGGTGAAGCCCAAGAGCAAAACTGTGCGGGTTCAGGCCCAAAGCGGACAATATCATACCATGTGGTGGAGCAGGTCGTTACAATCTAAGTTTAGAATCCTAGACCAAACATGTGGTAGCCACCAACAACCATCCGGTTAAGCTCTGTGAGGCGATGTTACAACCTTTAAATGATCAATCCGCGGCTCAGCCAGCGGCCTGATGAAAGACGCCGGCAGATCCAATCAAGAATCAGTCTTCGAGCAGTAATGACACGATATATATATATATATATATATATATATATATTTTCTAATGCCTGGAGCCAATCAAATCTCAAGAAACAAATCATCTAACCAATAAAAATCCAATGCCTGGAAATTCAACGTAGCTTTGAGCGCTCTTATAACAGCACTCGTCGTCTCACTCCATTTGACAGTTGAGAATTGTCCCGTCGTTTCATTCTTCACAAATACTCTTTTCAGATCTCACATTCTCTCATCTCCGTCTTAAATATCAGCCGGAAAACCCACGCAGCTTGCCGGATCTGGTGTTTCCGGTGATCTCCAGCCTGCCGTGTTCTGGTGCTCGTCTTCTGCATCACTGGCATTTGGTCAACTATATATACCAAAGAGTTCTTCAAGAGATTGTGTAATTTTTCTTTTCCATTAGTTTCAATTGTTCAAATCGACACATCTTCTTACTCAGCAGTTTATTTATTTATTTTAATTTTAATTTTTTTTATTCCTTTCTTCTTTGAAACAAAATTAAAAAAATTCTTTTTTTTTTTTTCATTGTTTCGAAACAATATCAATCAAACTGATACGTCTTCTTTTTTCATGTCTACTCGATTGTTGGTGTCTGAAGAACCTTATATATAATCGGCGGATTAAATCTTGCCTCTCTCATTCTACCTTTCTCGCTTCTTCTACCCCTCTTGCTTCTTCTGCCCATATTCTCTTTCAACATTTACTATCTAACTTTACTTTAAAAGTCGGTATTTGGTTGAAGCGCATAACTTAAGGCCTATTTTGGCTTAAGGTATGTTTCAATCTCTATTTTGTGTTATTTATATTTAAATTTTTGTTTTTGAGGATACAATGTTTGAATTTTATTTTCCTATTATGTTTCTTAATTATGTGAAGTTTGTTGACCATAATTCAGAATTATTTATGATGTTCTCATTCTTTTGGTTCATGCATATCAGATTACAACTCAAAACCCTTAAATTTTTTTTTTTAAAGGTATGTTTAAATTTGAATTAAAGAACAATTCTGATTTGGATCCGTAAAGAATTAGGGCATGATTTCAACGTTTTGGGTCGTAGTATTGAAAATCAATCGCCTGTATTGTATTCGATTTTGAAAGTTTGTTACTTTTGAAGTAAATAATTTCTCTTTAATATTAACATCGTTGGCTTAATTTAGGAAAAAAAAAAAAAAAAAAAATTTAATACCTATTGAATGACATTTTGTTTACAATACATCTAAGTGAAATTCATAGAGCATTGGTTAAAAATAACAATAACAAGATTTTTTTTTTTTTTTTTTTTTTTTGTTTTTTGTTTTTTTCTGTTTAAATTTGTAGTTACTGCGCATATTTGCAACATTGATTGATTATTACCAAGTTTGCCAAACGATAGATGGTGTAGTGTTCTCTCAATTGATCACATATATTTTAATTGTTCAGTTCTACCAAGTGATTTGGCCCAGACAAGAAGCGGTTCGAACACTTGGCATTTCTAAACCTGGCACAGAATGTAGTTTGTTTAATCTGGTCATTTATAAGTAATTTTTTTTTTCCTTTTCTGACCTTTATCTTTGTTTCGTATACTATATTGAACTTTTTTCACTATAAATTATTGCATGAGATATAAATTATTGCATGAGAAAAACTATAACATGGAAAATAAGTTTATGTTCATGACTTGATGTGTGACTATATATTGTATGTTGTTTTTCATGCCTCTTTCCTTCTTTTTTTTTTTTCTTTTTTTTTTTTTTTAAAATACTAACCTTATTATGCTTATATCAATGACGTATGCAGGTCGAACAAAATACATTACTAATTTCAAATAAAGGGGATAAAATTTACAAGTGAGTGGAAAATTAATGCTTTTCAATTTAAATTTTTTTTAGCTAGCTTTTAGTTAATAAAAATTCTTTTATTATGTTGACTTTTGTGGTCTTTTTTTTTTTTTTGGTGCATTAAATATTAAACCATTTATTAGGGTCTTGAATAGTTTATTTTTCCTTACCAGTAAAGCTACTTTCTTATTTCATTTCAATGAATATATAGAATGCATAAAAGCTTGTAATTAGAATATATATATATATCATATTTGTATGGTTGACTATTCAATTAGACACATAGATTTTATATTAAGACACCCCTCTTAATTTACTTTATATTTTCTACTATTAGATGTAACAATATCATCTTTGTAAGGTGGATTAGACATATATATTTAATATGGAAGCACTATTTTTAGTTACTTTTTATTTTCTATTATTAGGAGGAACAATTATAGACACAATAATAGACGCGATAGATCTTTGTATGCTGGACCGTTCAATTAGACACATAGATTTTATATATGAAAAAACCAACTTAATTTTTTTTTTTTTTTTCTATTTTTAATTAGTTGTAATAAGACCATCTTTGTAAGGTGAACTATTCAATTAGACATATATATTTCATATGGAAACACCATCTCTATTTACTTTATATTTTCTATTATTAGGTGAAACAATTCAATGAGACACGATAATAGACGTGCTAGATTGAACGCATATTACAGAAATAGATATGCAAGTTTGTCACCTGACCAAAGAGACAACCATATTCAAAACGTAAGAAATTCAATAAAGAAAAGAAAACGAGTGGAGATGGAAAAACCATATAATGACACAATGTCCCATGAGTTGAAGAAGGTCCCACAATGTGAATTTTGTTATGCAAAAAAATTTGAATACGAACCTCCAAGTTTCTGTTGCTCAAATGGTGAAGTAGTCCTAATGTCTACGAATGTGCCTAACGATTTATATGAATTGTTCACAACCCAAAGTGCATTATCTGTAGACTTTTGCCGTCACTTGCGTGCCTATAATAGTATATTCTCCTTTACATCATTTGGAGTCCGTCTTGATAAAAATTTATCAAATATGAAGACCGGGATCTATACTTTTCGTGCACAAGGTCAAGTATACCATGAATTACCATCACTTACACTTGGAGATAATGGACCGTGTTACCTCCAATTATACTTCTACGACACTGATAATGAATTTCAAAATAGAATGAGAATTCTTAAAGATGCAAATTTGGAAGAGCCAATTGTCGTAAAGTTAATGGACATATTATCTGCAAATCTATACGAACAGTTTTTCCGAAGGCTAAAAGATATTCCTGTCCAAGAGAGTTATGAGATCATGATAAAAAATGATGTTCGCCTAGACCAAAGAGTTTACAATTCACCCTCATCGGACCAAGTTGCAGCTGTGTGGATAGAAGGAACAAATTCAAATACACGTTTAGAACGAGATATAATTGTTACTGCACACTCAGGAAGAAGACATAGAGTAAGGCACTACTTTGGATGTTATGATTCATTACAATACCCTTTATTATTTCCATTTGGTGAAATTGGATGGCATCGTAATATCAAAACACGACATCAACCAAGTATCGTTCAACATGTTACGTGTGAAGAAGATATTTTTGAACATGATATTGCAACAAGAGTTGAACAAGGTAAATCTTATTGCAATATATTATTTAAATAAACAAAATTGATTCACATATATGTTGAAGTGATATTTCAAGAACTTTAATAAATTATTTTACAATGATGCAGCAAGAAGAACAAAAAAGGTTTCGTGCAGATAATATTATTGCTACAAATTCCAAATACGTGAAAAAGAACGATCAATTCTATTATATGCTGGAAGACTTTTGCGACAATATGTAGTTGATATGTACATTAAGCTTGAATCGACTCGTTTAGATTACTACCGGACACAACAATCACATATTCGATCTGAATTATACCAAGGAATTGTTGATAGCATTGTGGCAGGAGAATCTAGAGGAGATAAAGTTGAAAAATGGGTTGCTCTTCCCGCTTCTTTCATAGGAGGACCTAGGGATATGCGTAGACGATACTTTGATGCCATGTGTTTGGTTCAGAGATTCGGAAAACCAAACCTTTTTATTACAATGACTTGTAATCCTGATTAGAAAGAAATTCGCGACGAACTGAAATTTGGACAATTACCACAAGATAGACCAGATTTAATAGCTAGAGTGTTCAGAGCAAAGCTATATGACGTGAAGCAACAATTATTTAAAAGATCGATATTTGGAAAAGTGGTAGCGCATGTTCATGTGATTAAGTTTTAAAAAAGAGGTTTGCCACACGCACACATATTGCTCATATTTCAACCTGAATTCAAAATTACAAATGCAGAACAATACGACAAATTGGTTTGTGTAGAAATTCCTTCTAAGAATGAAAATCCATCACTTTATCGGAAAGTAGTGAAACATATGATTCATGGTCCTTGCGAAGATCTCAACAAAAAGAATGCATGCATGAAGGATGGGAAATGTAAAAATCTTTATCCACGTAAATTTGTCGAACATACGATTCAAGGTAAAGATTCATACCCCATATATAGAAGAAGAAAAGACAGCCAAATAGTCTTTGTGCGTAATGCAATGTTAAATAACAGATGGGTTGTTCCTTATAATCCATATCTTTTAGAGAGATATGACTGCTATATAAATGTCGAGATATGCTCAGGAATAATAGCAGTAAAGTATCTCTATAAATATATATACAAGGGACATGATCGTGTTGCGATTTACATCTCAAATGTTGATGGAGGGAATTTCGTAGATGAAATAAAAGAATATCAGGATGCACGATGGGTATCACCCCAAGAAGCAATGTGGAGACTTTATGAGTTTAACTTAAATGAGATGTATCCTTCGGTTACCTACCTCCAATTACACCTTCCAAATAAACACACAGTTTGGTATTGGGAGAACAAAAAACTAGAATATATCATTCGTTCTGAAGATATATCATGTACAATGTTGACGGAATTCTTTCATTTAAACTCTATATCTGAAATAAGTAGAGACTATTTGTATAAGGAGATTCCGGAGCATTATGTTTGGAACAAGCAAAATAAATGTTGGAGTCCCAGACACCACAAGGCGGTAATAGGACGAGTTAATGTTGCCAACCCTTCTGAAGGAGAAAGGTATTATTTAAGATTATTGTTAAACCACGTGCGTGGACCAACATCATATAAAGATTTATTATATGTTAATGGTCTCCAATGTGTAACATTTAAAGAGTCGGCAGAAAGAAGAGGTCTCCTTAAAAGCGATAATAGCATTGTTGAGTGCCTCAACAATGCTGTGTGCTTCCAAATGCCAACGGCTCTTCGAAGGTTTTTTGCAACTTTATTAGTTTTCTGTGACCCAAGTAATGTTAGAAAACTTTGGGATGACTATTTTGAAGCTATGTCAGAAGATTTTTACCCAACCCTAATTCTTCCCCTGACTACCAACTCATGGAAACACTTAAGAACATAGAAAACTCTTTAATAAGCATGGGCCGAAATATAAATGATTACGATTTGCCAAATATTGATTATGCGAATGATTCCAATAGTTATGATTCCTCTAGAGAGATCAGCAATGAAATGGCTATTGTTACTCCGTTTGACGATTACAATGCAATAGTAAATCTTAACAATGAGCAACAAAATGCATATAAGACTATACTTGAATGCATAATCTCAAATCAACCAAACATCTTCTTCATTGATGGGCCAGGGGGTACAGGAAAAACGTATTTGTACAGTGCATTACTTGTGAAGGTTAGATCTGAACATGGAATTGCACTTGCAACTGCAACTTCTGGAGTGGCTTCTTCATTATTACCAGGTGGTAGGACTGCACATTCAAGATTTAAGATTCCTATCATAGCTGACGAGTCAACTACTTGTAACATTTCAAAGCAAAGTTCAACCGCAGAACTCTTACGAAAAACCAAACTAATTATTTGGGATGAAGCACCAATGGCTAAACGTTACGCAATTAAAGCAGTTGATAGAACTCTACAAGATTTACTTGGCAATAATTTATCTTTTGGAGGAAAAGTTGTGGTTTTTGGCAGAGATTTCAGACAAGTGTTACCCGTACTACCTCGAGCGACTAGAGCTGAAACTATTGAAGCAAGTCTGGTAAAGTCTAAATTATGGAAAAAAATAAAGAAAATACAATTGAAAAAGAAAATGAGAGCAAGAATGATCAATCATTTACAGAATTTTTACTACAAGTAGGCGACGGAGAGGAGCTGACTTTATTAGACAACACGATTCAACTACCGAAAGAGATAGTTATAAACTCTGTAATTGAAGAAAACTCTGAAAATGCATTGATAGATGCTATATTTCCGTCCCTTCAAGAAAATTCTCACTTAGCGGAATACATTACTAATCGAGCAATTTTAGCAACAAGAAATGATTTTGTTGATAAAATAAACGGTCAGCTCATTGAACGTTTCCTGGGAGAATCTTCAACATACTATAGCTTTGATAAAGCAAATGATGATGCTGGTACCTACTACCAAGAAGAATTTCTGAATCTTTACTCCCAAATGGCCTTCCATCTCATAAACTAACATTGAAAATTAATTGTCCTATACTTTTACTAAGAAATTTAGATCCTGGAAATGGATTATGTAACAGGACTAGGCTTATATGTCGTGGCACAAAAGAGAACATAATCGCTGCTGAAATTTGCCATGGGCAACATGTAGGGAAACAAGTACCGATTCCAAGGATACCTCTTTCCCCGGCAGAGAGTGAGGGATTGCCTTTTTGTTTTACTAGAAAACAGTTTCCAATACGATTAAGTTTTGCAATGACAATAAATAAGGCACAAGGGCAAACAATTCCTCATGTAGGAATATATCTTCTGGAGCATGTATTCTCACATGGACAATTATATGTGGCGTTATCTAGAGGAACATCAATGTCGACAACTAAAGTCTATGTTAAAAAAGACCAAAGAATTGAAGGCAATGCTAAATATACAAAAAATGTTGTCTACAAAGAGGTTTTGTTGCCGAGCATGTAAGAAAGTTTTCAATGATATCCTTATAGCAATGTTTTGAATTTCAATGATAACATGGTTCATTATGGCTTCTGTTTTATAGTTTGGTCCTCTTTTTTCTTTTTGTGATGAAATTGTTTTAGTGGTGTTTTTTATTTATTTGTTTTTATTTTATAAAGGTTCTCCGATTAGATATTCTACAATAAAAAGTTTAGAATGTGTGATGGTAGACATCCAGAATGATAAATGGACCCTTGAAGCATATTTTTACATTGAATTTTGGCTAGATTCTTTTCCATTGGAAGATTGGAAAGAATGAAGTTTATACAAAATCTTCAGTACTTTTGGTAAAACTTTATTTGCCCATTGCAATGAATTTCTAAATTGACGTTGCACGTGCTGACCCAAAATTGAATACTGAATGTATCATATTTTGGAAACTGGAAACTTGCCCTATAGTTTTATCATTTTATGTTTGATATACGGGGAAGAAGAAGGGTTAGACTATTATTGCTAGAAAACTTACCATAAGGTGGGGAGCCTGCTTTCTCAACAACTTGTTTTGGAAGCTGGAAATTCTTGATAAAGCTGTAGGGCTCATTTGATCTTGTTTTAAAGATTGGTCTCTGTTCTTGAAAACTGAAAAAATGAAAATAAGACAAAAAACCTGTTTGGAGACCATTTTTCAAGGGGCAAAAATAAATCTTGAAAATGAAATGTTTTCAGTAAACTTTGTGAAATTTTTATAGATTGCAATCTTCCACTTACATTATTGTTATTATTATTAGTTACAATTTTCCACTTACATTAAATGTATTATTGTTTTTATCTTGTGTTACAGAAACAATCTTCAACATGAGGAACCAATGTACTTTTAACACTATAAATTCACTAGATGTTTTACAAAGGAATTGGACAATAAAGGTGATTGTACTTCGTAGAGGAAATGTTGAAAACTACCATAATGACAAAGGATCAGGCCAAATATTGAAAGTAATTTTAATGGATGAAGAAGTAAGTATATTATCCATTACTTTTAGTATTCTATATTTATATTTTTTGATATTGATATTGATATATGATATATGATATATATATATATATATATATATATATATATATATATATGTCAATATTAATTGATCATCTTTTACAATTTAGGGAACACAAATTCAAGCTGCATTGTTCAATGATGTGGTCACCATATTCAAGGAATCCCTAGCTCTTCATAAAACTTATATAATTTCTAATGGAATTGTGAGTCGAGTGAACCACAAATATAGAAATGTTCACAAGGAATTCGAATTAAAGTTTACAATTGAAACATCAATTGAAATCATTGTGAAAGAGAAAATAAGTTTGAACAAAATAAATTACAATTTTGTTGATTTCGAAGAGATAAGCAAACACATTGACAGCAAGGAGACAATTGGTTAGTTCCCTTCAACTCTTTGTTTATATATATATATTTTAACATTGAACTCAATTGTGAATTACAATATATCTCAATTGAATATATGAAACTAACTTGTTAAGCTTGCAGATGCTTTAAGAATCGTTATTCAAGCAAATTCCATGTTGATCAAATCTAAGAAGAAAAGTGATGGAATATCTAAAATGTGTAACATCACTATAATAGATACAAAGTGAGTAAAATTAATTTTCACAAATTCCTATTTTTAGAATAAATACTTGAAGTAATTATTAAACTATATAACAGGTCAAGAATGACGATGTTGACATTATAGGCAGACCTTGCAGAAAATGAAGGACAAAAAATAATTCAAATGGTAAACGAGAGACCAATAATCACTTTAACAAATGTGGTAGTTAACATTTACAAAGGTACCCTACATATAAATAGACATCAATGTTCTCATTTTTCTTTTCTTTTTTTTGAATCAATGTTCTCATTTTACAATCTTTCCTTATGATGTTACAAATATATAATTAAACAATTGTACTTTTAAGGTGTCTCTCTTCAAACACATCCAGGATCCACATTGCAGATCAATATGGACATTGACGAAGTAAACACATTAAGAAAATGGTTTGTTTTCTTCTACTAAAAATAGTTACATTGGTCCATAAATTTAAATACTTTAAAGTATTCAATATATATAGTAATCATTACATACATACAAATTAAGTTATCACACGTACATACTACAAATGCAGGTTTGATAAAACTATATCCGGCAATGATATAGGTGCTCTCATTATGAATTCAAAATCTAAAGCTTTTGATGGAGCCGAAAAAATTTGTCTCAATGAGATTATTGGAAAATCAACAACTGCATTTATGGTAAGAATCTATGTACATTTGTTTTTTAGTGTAGACTTTCCATCATTATTTAATTTATTATTTATTATATTATTTTTCTTATTAGATGTTTTTTTTTTAAAAAAAAAATTATTCATACAAAAAAAAAAATTTACTTATCATTGTTTAGAAAACAAATTATTATTTCGAAGCAACAATTAAAGTTATTGAAAATGAAAAGAAACCATGGTACGACGCTTGTATGGAATGCAACAAGAAAGTCAAACTGCTGAATAGTGGCATTGCTTGTACCAATTGCAACATAAAGAATGTAAAATGCGTTCAAAGGTATTCATTTTTTATTATGATTATTACTTTTAAAATTGCCTTAGTTTTAAAAACTTTATAAACGTAAATAACTTATTATTGTAATTTGTCATTATGCAGATTTGTGATGCGACTAAAAGTGATAGATACAAATGCAGAAGCAAAGATAACAGTTTTTGATGATTGTCAGTCACTAATAAATTGTTGTTTGGAAGATCTTCTACGACTAAAAAATGAGGTGACAATTTAAAATCATTAATAATATTTTAATATAAGAAAAAAAATTGTGCATTACATTATATAATAAATTATATATATAATTTATAAAAGAAAAATAAGGTTAGTTTTTTTTATTTATTTTTTTATAAATATTTGAAGGAAGAAGAAACAAATGAGTTCAGCGACATTGTTAAAAGCTGTGAAGGGAAGTCATTTATGTTTCTGGTGAAAATAGACAACAACAATGATGAATTAATCAAAGGCCTCTTCGTTGCACAAGCAGTTAAAAAAGTCAGCCGAGACAATGATACAACAGAAGAACTTGGCACAGAACTTAGCATTGACAATGATACAACAGGAGAACTTAGCATTGACAGTCATCCAATTGCAGAACTTCGATCGCCCAAAAGGATAAAATGCTCTTTCCAAAGGAAAAATAAAAAAATTCAGAATATTGATTCATAGTGTGTTAACTCTCATTGTTTATAATAATTAGTAATATCGAACCACATTGCGAATACTATTTGACCACAGTGCAAATACTACTATGCAACCACAAAATAACGAACCCACTCTAGAATACAATATAGTTTTTTTTACACTCGCCATGTTATAAATTTCTAAATTCATTTTTCTCAATTCTTGGTAATACATTAAGAATTGATCGAAATAAATTTTCATTGATATAATTAATTGATTAATTGTGTTTGGTAAAGATATAATATATAAAAAGTTATTTTAACATAATGTATTTAATAATTAAATAGAAAGATGATTAAAACCCTCATATAAATCATATTAATATTTTAATTTGAATTAACATCTATTCCGTAAATCTAAATTAATATATTTGTTTTTTAAAAAAAAAGTCAATTTTATTTTATTTTGAGATAAAATAATATATAAAATACCAATTATTTATCCAATATAAATTTTTCTTTGCGTGCATTGCACGTGTTAATTTTCTAGTATATATATATGGACATTGCACACAGAAATAAATATATATATATACATGATCGACCATATATATATATATATATATATATATATCAATATATATGGTCGATCATGTATATTTTCAAGTAAAAAATTGCACTTAGTGAAAGAGGGGGGACTTTTAGCATTTCATGTTGCAGAGATCTGTTTCTGAGCAAATAAAAAGTTCAACTATATGGATGTCCCCATGTTTCAATTTTAGCATACTACAAGTTCTGTTAAAAGTAAATCTGATGTTTGTTGGTTGGGCTTTGTGAGGATAAGCAGATTAAAGACTCGACAATGAATTGAATGAGAACAAATTTTTTTTTTTTTTTTTCTCCCCAGAATGAGAGCAATTTAAGATATTTGTTTCGATACTTGTCTTTTTAGTTCGATTTGTTTACAACAATTTATGTTGTTGCAAATGCTGGACTTTCATATATATAAAAAGGGTCATTGAATGCCACCGGAATTCGCAGACAAAATTCCGGCGAAATGTAAATTTCCGAGGATAGGAAATGTAAATTTCTAACTATAGAAAAGGGTTATCGCACGCTTTAAGAAATTGAATGTGTTCATATAGAGGGAAACAGAAAAGGGAAGTTGCTGCAGGAAATTCCCAGTTCCTTTATTGCTCAGAGTACCGAATACTGGTTCTTTGTTAAAAAACACACTTTGTTGCTCTCAGAAGAAAAGAAAAATTATTCCAATTTTTTGTCAGAAGTAATGGTGGAAACTGGAAAACCAAACATTCCATGTACATTATTTCATACTAACAATATGTATTACCGAAATGGTACTCGCATACCTGTAAAACAATATACTTCGATACTTAGTTCCACCAACTACATTCATATTCTTAATTTCATTTTCCGTCCAAACATTATTTTGCAGACAAAATTCCGGCGAACTCCACTCTTGATCTGTCATTCAACAATTTTACCGGAGAGATTCCGGAATCACCTGTTTTGCTTTAACCACGAAACGAAATCATTTTCCGAAAATCCGGAATTGTGTGGTAGACCACTCAGGAAATTATGCCCAATTCCTTCCACCACCTCTTCTCTGCACCAACCACTTCTCCGCCGGAAATTACAGTGATCCTGAAGACCATAGATTCAACTCCGGCGAGCACTTCACCCACGTCAATAAAAGGTAAAGTACACATAATCATAACCCAACACCCATCAGAGGATTGGTTCCTCAACTTGTCACCGGAATCTGCAACTCTCCACCGCTAAAGTCCTATGTTTTGTTCACCGGAAGTTGCAGAGATGCAACAACCTAGTTCTTGCTTCATCGTCAAACCAACATCAAGCTCTCTCACCGGTGACAAGCACGAGCTTAGGTCTGATGGGGAATGTGGGGATGAATGGAGGCCACCAACATCTTCAATTCTTTGATACGGCAGGAACACACAACTTCAATTTGCTCATGCAACATCTGGGTTGGTATGTGGGTTTGGGGTATAATGGTCATTTTGCTAATCTGATATTTTGGAACAAAAGAGATTAAGAAATTAGAAGTAAAGTTGTTTTTTCTCACATATTTAAACATTTAACGGAAAGTTAAAAATGAACCTAAGTGATATTTATTTTTGAAAAATGTTTAAGGGTGATATTTGGTCAAACTTGAGGAGAGTGTCAGTGAAATTAACCTCAAAAAATAAAACTTAATTTTAAGAAAACAATTGTGAGAATATTGAACCGAACATGCTCATGAATTATGTTCATGCTCTTATGATCAATGATGATGCAAAGAAAAAAATAGGAGATAAACCTTGCTTTGTATTATTTTTCACAAAGTGTCCATTCTTAGGTTGAACTCGTTTTCACACTTGCCAAGCCATGTTTTACCATTTTACCAAGTGTATTACAGTATCACGATCATTTACTCATATCTTACATTATTATTCAAATTTGACAATGTGTTAATACAGATTTTTGGATTCAACAAGAAATCAATAAATGTACATGTGACAATATTGGGAATAACTAGGAAGCATAACTGACAACTGCAATATTTTTTGCTTTAATTCCACAAATAAATTTTTATGCTTTTATTAGTTACAAGAAATGATACAATTCAATGTATTTAAATAAAATATTACAAAAAAGGATCTTAGTTTGGGACCCTTCTCATTCACAAAGATAGTTGATGCCAAAAAAACGTATTTAGGCACCAGAAAGAAGTTAATTATTCTTTGAAATACTGCAACTGATGTAGGAGGCCGTCATTAACTTAGTAGCCTTTTGGCGGTGGTGGAGACTTGTAATAGTAAGGAGGCGGTGGTGATGAGGATGGTGGAGGTGGGGACGTGTAGACATAAGGAGGAGGTGGTGACTTAGTTGGTGGAGGTGGGGACGTGTAGTGGTATGGAGGTGGTGGTGACTTGGTTGGTGGAGGTGGGGACGTGTAGTGGTAAGGAGGAGGTGGTGACTTGGATGGTGGAGGTGGGGACGTGTAGTGGTATGGAGGTGGTGGTGACTTGGTTGGTGGAGGTGGGGACGTGTAGTGGTATGGAGGTGGTGGTGACTTGGTTGGTGGAGGTGGGGACGTGTAGTGGTATGGAGAAGGTGGTGACTTGGACGGTGGAGGTGGGGACGTGTAGTGGTATGGAGGAGGTGGTGACTTGGTTCGTGGAGGTGGGGACGTGTAGTGGTATGGAGGTGGTGGTGACTTGGACGGTGGAGGTGGAGACGTATAGTGGTAAGGAGGAGGTGGTGACTTGGACGGTGGAGGTGGGGACGTGTAGTGGTATGGAGGTGGTGGTGACTTGGACGGTGGAGGTGGGGACGTGTAGTGGTAAGGAGGAGATGGTGACTTGGACGGTGGAGGTGGGGACGTGTAGTGGTATGGAGGTGGTGGTGACTTGGACGGTGGAGGTGGGGACGTGTAGTGGTAAGGAGGAGGTGGGGACGTGTAGTGGTATGGAGGTGGTGGTGACTTGGTTGGTGGAGGTGGGGACGTGTAGTGGTATGGAGGTGGTGGTGACTTGGACGGTGGAGGTGGGGACGTGTAGTGGTATGGAGGTGGTGGTGACTTGGACGGTGGAGGTGGGGACGTGTAGTGGTATGGAGGTGGTGGTGACTTGGACGGTGGAGGTGGGGACGTGTAGTGGTATGGAGGTGGTGGTGACTTGGACGGTGGAGGTGGGGACGTGTAGTGGTAAGGAGGAGGTGGTGACTTGGACGGTGGAGGTGGGGACGTGTAGTGGTATGGAGGTGGTGGTGACTTGGACGGTGGAGGTGGGGACGTGTAGTGGTAAGGAGGTGGTGGTGACTTGGACGGTGGAGGTGGGGACGTGTAGTGGTATGGAGGTGGTGGTGACTTGGACGGTGGAGGTGGGGACGTGTAGTGGTAAGGAGGAGGTGGTGACTTGGACGGTGGAGGTGGGGACGTGTAGTGGTAAGGAGGTGGTGGTGACTTGGTTGGTGGAGGTGGGGACGTGTAGTGGTATGGAGGTGGTGGTGACTTGGTTGGTAGAGGTGGGGACGTGTAGTGGTATGGAGGTGGTGGTGACTTGGATGGTGGAGGTGGGGACGTGTAGTGGTAAGGAGGAGGTGGTGACTTGGTTGGTGGAGGTGGGGACGTGTAGTGGTATGGAGGTGGTGGTGACTTGGTTGGTGGAGGTGGGGTCGTGTAATGGTAAGGAGGAGGTGGTGACTTGGTTGGTGGAGGTGGGGATGTGTAGTGGTATGGAGGTGGTGGTGACTTGGTTGGTGGAGGTGGGGATGTGTAGTGGTATGGAGGTGGTGGTGACTTGGATGGTGGAGGTGGGGATGTGTAGTGGTAAGGAGGAGGTGGTGACTTGGTTGGTGGAGGTGGGGACGTGTAGTGGTATGGAGGAGGTGGTGACTTGGTTGGTGGAGGTGGGGACTTGGTTGGTGGAGGTGGGGACGTGTAGTGGTATGGAGGAGGTGGTGACTTGGTTGGTGGAGGTGGGGACGTGTAGTGGTATGGAGGTGGTGGTGACTTGGATGGTGGAGGTGGGGACGAGTAGTGGTATGGAGGTGGTGGTGACTTGGGTGGTGGAGGTGGGTATGAGTAGTGGTATGGTGATGGTGGTGACTTGGATGGTGGAGTTGGGGACGTGTAGTGGTATGGAGGCGGTGGTGACTTGGATGGTGGAGGTGGGGACGTGTAGTGGTATGGAGGCGGTGGTGACTTGGATGGTGGAGGTGGGTACGAGTTGTGGTAAGGGGGCGGTGGTGACTTGGATGGTGGAGGTGGGGACATGTAGTGGTATGGGGGCGGTGGTGACTTGGATGGTGGAGGTGGGGACGTGTAGTGGTATGGAGGCGGTGGTGACTTGGATGGTGGTGGTGGGGATGTGTAGTGGTAAGGGGGTGGTGGTGACTTGGATGGTGGAGGTGGGGACGTGTAGTGGTATGGAGGTGGTGGTGGTGGTGAAGCATAACTATAAGGCTTATCGGCAGTTACACAAATAGCTATTAGGCAAAATGCCATTGCATAAACATGTTGAGGCCATTGCCTCAACTTCCCCGAGCTTCCCATTGCCGGAAAGAGGGTATATGTTGTCAGAAATGTTGGTTTGTATGAGGAAGAGGACTAGCTTGGCCTATATATATAGTGTTCCATATAATCATTGGTGACACTGATACGTTTTTTGTTGGGTAAACAGGCTGTATTAAGGCATAAACAATGCAAGTCCTATCTCACAATTTTTTTTTTTTTTGTCTTTTAAAAAAAACTATTGAAATGTGGTTTCCCACTAAGATGTCAATTCCATGTATGGTAGGCGATGAATAAGTCAATGCAGAGAGTAGGTAATATGCTTTATGTAATATTTCTGTATGATCAAATATTTTTTTATCACCAACAATAATGTGTTTTAGGCAAATGGGTAAGAAATGTCTTCAATGATGAGGCAAGATAGGGAGAGATTTCAGTCAATCTATAAACCATGTTCTGGATTTAAGTGTTCGATAGATTAAATAGGGTTATCCTTGCAAATGACAGAAGGATTGTTGAAAATGTCTTGTATTAACTTGAACTTCTCAATTTTGTTTCTTATTGGAGTCCGTAAATCTATTCACCATCACAAAGTTTTATATATGAATTTCAAAAAGTTTTTTTTTCGTAAATTCATGCTAGCCCAACATTTCAACTTTCTTAAGAGTCACCATACATGAATTAATGTTTCAACCAAAATGTCGGACCGACTCATTCCATGAGTCCCGCATAAATTCATAATCTTGGTATGGAAGTACATAAGTAAGTAGTAACCACTATTGTAACTCCATCTAGCTATACGAGTGGATTAGAAGTGGCACATTCTATATTTGAAAAACAATATATAATTATAACTACAATATTATGTTTTAAATGTTGAATGTAGATATTTAGATAGGTTTTGTTTGCCTTCAACATCATTGAGGCAGCCTAAGGGCCGATAAATGTTGGTCCTTCTAGTGGAGAAAGCTAACCACTCAAGCCACTCTGTAGGTCCTTCTAGTGGTTTAAATTTTCTTGTTTTTTTTTTTTTTGTTTTGTTATAAAAAAAAAGGTAAGCTATAGTGGTTTAGATATGTGCTTTGCTTGACTTAGTAATTTATCTTTTTGTTCCATTTCTTTTTCATTTTCTTGGGTCAAAAATTTGTCGTCCTTAATGACAAAGCTGATGGTTAGAATATGGAAACAAAGGATTTGCCAAGGAAATGAAATCGTTTTCTTAGAGTGTTTTAAGCATTTGCAATAAACTCATACATTCATCCAATGCATTAGAATATGAATTGATCTTATTATTTCATGATGATTATTATGTTTTATTATGGTATAAAATGCGATCGTATAGTCACTTTATGTATTCCACTGATTCATGCAAAACTCAAATGCCTAATCTTTTCTTAAGAGAATAGAGATCATATCACAAAATACAATCGCAGAGTTACTTTACGCATCACATTGACCCGTGAGACTCAAATTCCTAGCCTCACCGCGTCGTTAATCTGATTCTTTTTTGTGAACCATATTCTAACCTATTTAAGAAATTTTCTTGTGAACAAATCAAGGCTTTAGGCTTTTGACCTCCTTTCATTTTTATTTCTTTATTATTATTATTATTATTATTATTTGTGTTAAATACTTCAAGAATAAATATGAGACTTTCAAGGAAATAAACACAATTGGCAGTTGAGACCAACCATCAGCCTCGTCAGAAGCTTCTTTAATAATGAGAGAATAAAGGAGTGTGAGATAGAAATATAGATTTAAGTCAAATACTTTGGCTTTTCCTTACAAATTGCAATAATTGAAGAGGAAAAAATAATAATAATAAATTAGTTTAATTACAGCTTCCTTATGATCTACAGATATATTTTAATATTTTTATAACTATGACATGATATGTTTTTCTGCAAATTCAATAGGGTTGTTATCAGTTTATTTGACTTTGGGAGATATTCTCGAAAATACTTAAATGCCCTTAAAAAATTAAGTTTTTTTTTTTTTTTTTTTTTTTTTTTTACATAATTAGAGTGGTATTAAAAGAAAAATAAGAATACAGGTGCACACAGGGAATACCCTCAAAACCTTTGGCAACAAAGGAATGTGGGAAGATGAGAGAAAACCTACTTCCAGTACAAAGATATAACAATAGAAAAAAATATTAGGACAGAATATCATGAATGGTAGGGTTCGGGATGTCCAACACCTCCAGCAACAATTGTCTAACCATTGCCTCTGGATCAGTAGGTGACCCATGTAGCCTTGCATTCCTTTCCTGCTAACTTTGCAAACAAGCTTTTAAGTGATCTCGAAGCCTGACACAAGTCCCTGAACCAGTAGAACAAGTCCCATATAGTGGATACCTCACTAAACTTCTGCATATCCCAGTTGAGAACCCCACCAAACCATTTCCAGAAGAAAGGAGTAAACTGACAAGAAACAAACAGATGATATGTGGAGTAAACATCTCTGTGACAGAGTGAACACCTAGCAGCCAAGCTACCTTTCCTCCTTCGTAAATTCATCATAGAAGGAATCCTGTTGAGCATCACAAAAACAGTAGTGACAGACCACCTAGGCCTGGCCTTGCCCCAACACATGGTGCACCAATAAACCTCTCCATACTCAATCCTACAAGAATTCCAATATTTAATAAGGAGATCTACCACCATCCTATAATAGAGTACCCTCAATAGTATGAATAGGAATAGAGAGAAGATAATGCTTGAACTACTCCAAACTAGTTCCAAGTAGAAGATCCCAGTTCCAATCCTCATTGATCATCAAACTATCCAAAGTAGCATGTCTGGAAATTTGTAAGGACCTTATCACTCTGTGACCAAACCTCTAAGCAATTGTTTGTCCACCGTACCATGGATCTCGGACAACATAAAAGAATTTACCACACCCCACTATGATTGAAAAATTGAGATTATGAGAAAACAAGAAGAAAAAAGAAAATAAAAAGGACATATAAGATTATTTATTTAATTGTGGCCCACATGATTTGGACATGTGATATATTACTTGGTGACTAAGTAAATAGATATCAATTAATATTATTTATTTTTGGTCAACTTATAATTACCTTTTTGGTAATTACTTATTGGAGAAGTGTTTTCCTTTCTTATTCCTTATTTTGATGGCATGGAAAGTAGAATTATGTTATTAAAAGGAAAACTAGTCATCTCTCTGTCTTTATAAAAGTGCATATACTCTATCAATTATGTACGATTAATAATACAATACGTAAAAGTTTTATGTGTGCAAAAGGCCAAGAGAGAGAAACCAGTTTTCACCTTTGCCTGTTGATTAGAGTTGCAGATTAGTTCGTGGTTAAAGAATCTAGACATTGAATTTAATCTCAACAAGATTTGATATCATGAATCGAGGTATTTATATCTAACCATTTATTTATGCATTATAGATATGTGAAAATCATGAAGTTCTAAGATATGTGATTCATGTAAATTTGTTATTAATGGCTTAACACGAATTATTAAAGTTTACATGTGGTATCAGAGCTTATGGTTTAGGAACTTATTATTTTCCACTAAAGTTTGCATAAATAATATATATATATATATATATATATATATATATATTATTTATATTAAAATTAAATAATTAAATTTGTTTTGGAATCGTGGGTGCATAATGAATTAGAATGATAGATTAGTTGATCAATTTATTTTGGTTTATATGATCGATTTTTTAGCCTTTAAATTGATTTCCATAAATTGATTTCTTATCCTTATTGAATTGTCCGATAGTTGAAGTATATGTATGAGTTTGTTTTTTTATTCCGTGCATGACTAGAATAGCAATTGGAATTGAAATAGTTGGTTTTGCTTTTTACGTAAATCGAGGTGATGAATTTTAATGCTAACTATTGGTTTTTGTACAAACTTATATATATACTTGTTATTATATATCATTAATTACATATATGATAAATTAATAGAGAATGATTTATTTTATTGTAGTAAATTAAATTTCTGGAATAATGTGTGAGTTTAGAAATTTAATTTAATTTTGTTAGACATACAAATAAATTATTATTTTGTATCCAAATATACATACATATTGGAGAATCAATTTTAAATTGATTCAATTATGATCTTCAAATCCGAAAATAAAAATAACATATTTTATTATGTATATAAAGTAAAAAGGATATTTTTTTATTGAATTTTTGGACTATTAAGTTTCTGGGATTGAACCTACCTAAATTTGGATCGATCAGTATGAGTATGTGTGTATAATATTAAATGGGTAAATTAATAATTAATTAGTTACTAACTAATTTAATATTCATATTATGTGAGGGTTAGTAGCTACCAAAGTGATCTAACCATAATGGTCGATGAATATTAATTCTAGTAGTAAATATAACTTAATGATGAATTAATCTCTGTCTAATTTATATTCATATTATGTGAAGATTGGTAACTACCAAAGTGCCCAATCATAATGATTAATGAATATTAATTTTTGTAGTAGACATAATTAATCATAAATTAGTTACTATCTAATTTAATATTCATATTATGTAAAAGTTGGTAGCTACCAAAGTGGCCTAATCATAATAGTTGATGAATATTAATTTTAGTAGTAAACATAATTGCAATATTTCATGAATTATGATACTTATTATTTTTTGTGATATTGATGAATATTGAGTTTATTTAATTATGAGAAATAGTTCTCCAAAGGGAATTGATTTTCAAGTGATTAAATAAAAATTAAAGGATTGCATGTATTTTTAGGTAGATATATGATATCCAAAGGTAACTTATCTGTTTAATTCAATAATGCATCACCAATGAAGGTATACATATAAATACAAATAAGTATCATTATTAATATTTTATAGTTGCCACCCAAAGGGGTATTATAATTATACATTGTATTTATATTTTTAAGTTATATAAACGTGTTGTTAACTCAAAGCATTATTGTTGTGAGCATTTTATCTTATTATATTTATTTTATTATATCTCTTAATGCACATGCTACATCTGTTCTGATTCTCAATATAACTAACT